GTTGTAAACATTTTTTAAAAAATTTGCTTTTAAGCGAATCCCCAAGTTTTCTCTACCCTGACCTATGGAAATACAAACTTTTGGCATACCACTAAAAGATGGGTTTTATACTGTTCATGCTCCTAATAGCCAAATAATTCAGTTACAGAAATACTTCAATTTACAAATCCATAACAGACAAGAACCTCTTTAACATAAAAGGAGTTTGACATTAATGACTCACTTTTAAGGGGGGAAAAAAAAGATCTCATATGTAATCCATACATCCTTAGAACCTATTTTTACTACTTCCAAAATGTCTTAGAGTAGGTAGTCTTTGCTTAAGAAAAACACTAAGGCAAAATCAGCTGGCAAAAAAAAGGGGGAGGGGGATATTTTAAAGTATAAAAACACTACTTAAATAAAATCAAATTGTTAAATTTCATCTTCAGATGTTTAGTAAACTTCTTAGTTATCAGGAATTTCTATGTTAAAATGGTGGCTACTCTTGCTCATTGTTTTATATCTATTAATTCATACCCCAACTCTTTCCAGATAAGGTTTATCAATTAAAATTTTTTTAACTGGCAATTCAAAGTCCAGTATAAAATTTAAAAAGATGCACTGTTCTTTTTTAAAAAAATGAGTTCTTGTTGGGCAAAAGATGTACTAACTTGCCCTCCAAATAATATACCCTCTTGAAGAATCAATGGATCTAAACATTGAGCATCAACAGCTGCTACTACCACAGCGTGAGACAACCAGACATACATGCCTCTAGACGGAAGAGCATACTAGCATACTCGCCAAAAGACTGCACCCTGAATCTGACCAAGCCTCATCTAGATCCAACTACACACTTTCAGGAAATACAGAGAAACATATTAAATTATACTGCAGAGATGCCATCAGTAAAATGCCAACTAGGGTAATGCTGTAAGACAAACAACCCAATTTCTTCAACAAATAAGCTACAAGGCATAGAACTGTCATGTCACTCAGCAATTTCACTCCTACATATACACCCAAAAGACGTGAAAGCAGGGACTCAGATACCTGTACACATGTTCATTACAGCACTATTCACAACAGCCAAAAGGTAGAAACAACTCAAGTGTCCATCCACAGACGAATGGATAAATAAAATGTGGTATATCCATATAATGGAATATTATTGTCATAAAGAGAAATGAACTTCTGATACATGCTACAACAAGGATAAACTATGAAAACACTATGCTGAGTGAAGTAAGTCAGATGACAAAAGGCCAAATGTAACATGATCCTACTTATGTGAAATATCTAGAACAGGCAAGGAGACCAAACTTTATTAGTGGTTACCAGGGACAGGTAGTAAGGAAAATGTGGAGTTACTGCTTAAGGGATACTGAGTTTCTGTTATGGGTGATTAAAAAAAAATTGAAAATAGTGGAGATGACTGCACAAGATGGTGAATGTAATTAATGTCACTAAATTGGACACATAAAAATAGTTGAAATGACCAAGTGTTTTGTTATATATATTTCACCACAATAAAAATTAAAACAAACGATACAAAAAAGAAATCGAGAGGGAATCCACAGATTAAAGGAAACTTAAAAGACGTATCAACCAATCACAATATATGGCTTAGCTGAAGCCTGATTCAAGTAAACTTTTTTTAAAAAAAAAAAAAAAGCTATAAAATTTATGGGGCAATTGGAAATTTGAATACACATTGGTTATTTGATGATATTTTAAAGAATTCTTGCTTTTTCAAGTTAAAAAGCATCCTTATCTTTTAAAGACATACTTAAAAATTCATGAATGAAATATCATGGTATTTAGGATCTGCTTGAAGATAATACTGGTGGGAGGAAGGGTGTAAAGTGAATAAGGTTAGAAATGAAACAAGACTGGCCAGGAGTTATTAATTGTCGAAGCTGGATACTATTCTGTTTATTTTTGTATATGTGTGAAAGTTGCCATAATAAACAGTCAAAACAAAAGACCCTGATACTGAAACTAGTTTACATAATCACAAAATGATAAGTATTGATTTACTAATTCTGAAGGAAAATTATGTTAAAATGGTGTCTTCTTAGCCAGGTATAAGTACAACTACATATTTAGACCAAAATAGCTGCTCTACTGCCAAATCAATAGAGTTAAAAGAAAAAAAAAAGGGCCTTCTGTTTGACGATCTGCATCATTGAAAACAGTTGGTTTGGGAATCTATTTACTCACCATTCATTGCATCAGAACTTTTCTTTACCCAGAAAATTAAGATGACCTTATTTTAAAGAAAAAATATGAAATTTAACTGTACCCTCTAACATTTATTTAGGGATCCAAATAAACACATTTTAATCTGTCAACAAATTATTTGAAGTCACGGCATCTTGAAAATCAAATTCTCAGGCATATCAAAGCTCTCCAGAGAAGATTATGCCAAAACAGAAGTATTTTTAACTCTCTGGGATCCTTTTGAAGGAAAAAAACAAAAAAGTTAAATTGAGGAAAACGTCATCTAGACTGGATTTTGTTCTTGCAGAACAACTAATAAAAAGCCCAAAGAGAGTGCTCAGAGCTGAGGGGCCCAGGAAAGAACATTGGATCTGGGGGAGACCTGGGTTCAAATTTCACTTACCAGCTGCTTGTCTGAAGCAGACTTCTCAAACTCTCTGTTTCCTCCTCTGTAAAAATGGGTTTCATAGCTGCTACTCAAGGGGCGTCTAACAGTTAAGTGGGAGTACCTGGCTGGTACCTGGCCTTAGGCTACCTTTCCAGCTCATCATAGCAACTTCCTCCTACACAGCCTGTCCTGGAGGGTGAAAATCCTGCAACCAAGCTGTATGAGGCTAATTATATTTTGCTTGGCTCATAGCAGTTTTTTGTTTGCTTGCTTGTTTTGCTTGTGTGTGTGTAATTAATTAACCACTGTCAGCATTTACAAAAAGGAGCCCTGGTGGCGCAGTGGTTAAAGCGATCAACTGCTAACCAAAAAGGTCAGCAGTTCAAAACCACCAGCAGCTCTGCGGAAGAAATCCACAGGGATTTACAGCCTTGGAAATCCTACCGGGTCGCTCGCTATGAGTCGGAATCAACTCGATGGCAATGAGTTTGGGTTTGGACCAATATTTACAAAACCAGGAGAGTAAACACAAAAAATCTGGCTTCTTTTAAAAAATCACTAGGTGGGGTTCTGGCAGCCCAGGGTTCTCACAACACCATGCTCTCTTACATCTGGCCTTGGGGTGGACTTCCAACTCCATACTAGGCTAAAGTCCACCTCCTAACCTCTTCATTCTTCTGTGCCTCTCCTTGCTTGGCAAACTTCTCAGCATCCTTCAAGGCCCAACCCTGACACCATCTGTCACCTCCTCTACTATAGCAGTCATCACGCTGTCCTGGAGAGAACTGTCTGCATGTCTGCTTTCCCTGCTGGGCTCTCTGAGGGAAGGGACCCTGCTGCCATCTCATTTGTGTCCCCAAGGGCCTAGCACAAAACCTGACCTAGATAATGTAGAACTCCATAAACGTCTATTGAATGTGTGGAAGGAAGACAGAGCTAAAATATCACAAAAATGTAAGCTTTTATACTGACAGCTTGTTCTGACAGTTACCAAATAAAGAGGTCAAGGACATTAAAATGTTTCACAAAATGAGAACAAGCACCCATCTGCTTACACGTTTCACAAGATGCCGTGACTTCAAATAATTTGTTGACAGATTAAAATGTGTTTATTTGGATCCCTAAATAAATGTTAGAGGGTACAGTTAAATTTCATATTTTTTCTTTAAAATAAGGTCATCTTAATTTTCTGGGTAAAGAAAAGTTCTGAAACTTGTGAAGTCACTAAAGGAACAGATAAACCGAGGCAACAGGCAGGCAGAGTCATTCCTTAGAGCATTTATTTGTTCAACTGATACTACCAAGTACCTACTGTGTATTTTCTAAACGATTGGCATAAAGCAGTGAGCAAATCAGACAACTACCTGTTTTCCTAGAGCTTACATTCTAGTGAGAGAAACAGGAAATTAACAGGCAAACAAACAGAATAGTTTCAAGCCAGAATATGCCACTAAGAACAAAATTAAACAAAGTAAGGAGATAGAATGACTAAGGAAAGAAAGAGGGTGGTCAAGGAAGGCCTCGCAGAAAACATCTGACCAGAGATGACCAGAGAAATGAACACCAAGGAGTCAACTGTGTAAAGATCCAGAAGACAACTCCAAGCACAAGAAACAGCAATTGCAAAGGTCTTCAGGTACATGAGGCTTGGCATGTTCAAGGTAGGTGAGGTGAGTGGCATAGGAGCACAGTGCTATGGGTGGGATGGATGGGAGGGGAGGTGGGCAGGGACGCTCAGGCACTGCCGGGGCACTGACTGTGCAATGACAACGCATTGGAGGAGTGCAGGGGCCGGGGGTTGGAGGGATGGGGTGGCTTCTGCCACACTCACACCTGCAAGAGGCAGTATCCTGCCAGATTCCCACAAATGTGTACTACGCTCCTGCTATCGCCCAGGGGCTTTCACACACGGTCAAAACAACCTGACAACCACCCTGTCCAAAACAGTTGACATTTCCTTTTTCCCGAAGGGAAAACTGAGGAATGGCGAGAGTCAGTGCCTTGGCCAAAGTCGCGGGGACCAGACCCTTACCTCCTGAGCATCCCAGCACGGGTGTGCAGCTGCGTGCCCCACAGTCAGGAGGGGTGGCACCCGCAGACACTTTCCTCGCCCCGCACAGTTCCTCATCCCCCCGGCAGCTCTGTCGGGGTCGCGCCAGGGAAACGGCCCACACCTGGGACAGCTAACAGCCGAGTGGGAGGGGGCGACTGCGGCAGCCTCGAGGGCAGGGGCGGCGGCCCGGGCTGCGAGCTCCCCGCAGGCCCTGGCCCACCCCTCGGCCCGAGCCGACAGCCCCGCGCCCAAACCGCAGACATCGGCCGCGCGCCCTCCCGCCGCCCCTTGCCGGAGGGGCCCGGACCAAGCGGCCCCGCCGGGCCTAGCTTGCTCGCCACCCGCCGGACTCACCTCGCCTCCCCGCCGCCGCGCCAAGAGGAGAGGGCAGGCGGACGGACTGGCAGCGCGGCGCACTGGCAGCTCCCG